CCAGGTGCCCCTTAGGAAGCGGATACCCGCGCTGTTTCTGCCCACCGATTGGCCCGCAATAGGGGCATGAGAGGCCGCTATAGCCGCCACATAAGACTTTGAGCGTGGATGGGGAGCGTCCCTTATCCAGCAGCTCTTGCAGAAATGACAATACCTCAGTCAAATCTGAAGTATGAGGGTCTTTGCCACGGTTTAGACACCAAGCAGAGAAAAAAGACCACTTCAAGCCGTAGAGGCGTCTCATAGATGGGGCTCTAGCCTCTGAAATTGTGTTTAAGACTCGCTCTGGGAGGCTCGAAGGCTCCCGTCGAGTGGCCAGAGGTGCAGGGCCCATAGGTCGGGCCGAGGATGCCATATTGTCCCGTTTCATTTGAGAGTGGAGATCTCGTCTCAGCGGAACGGGCCAAGGGGCCGCAATCAACAGCTGAGTTAGCTCTGATAGCCACAGCTGGTTAATCCGAAAGGGGGCCACAAGGAGAACCTTGTGTTTTTGTTTCCTTACTTGCCTGATTACCTGTGGGATCAGGGCGGTCGGGGGAAAAGCATAAAGAAGGAGGTTGGGCCAATCGTGGGCCAACGCGTCCCTGGTCTTTGAGAAATAAATTGGGCAGTGAGAGTTGTCTTCGGAGGCGAAGAGGTCCACCTCAGTCATCCTGAATGACCTTTTCATGAGGGCGTGATTCGGTGTCTGAGATCGAGGATGGGCCAGAGGCCACCATCCTTTTTGGGGACGAGGAAGTAGCGGCTGTGGAAGCCTGACTCTCTCTGAGCTGGGGGAACAGTTTCTATGGCTCCTATCGCCAGCAAATTCATCACCTCCGAGCGCAGAACGTGTGCGTCTTTGCTCTAAGCTGAGGTGGGAACCACGCAGCTGAATTGCGGGGTATTCGAGCGAATTGCAGTGAATAACCTCGTTTTATTATCTCCAACACCCAGATTGGCACTACAGGGATGGCCCGACAGGCCTCAGCCCGTGTGACAAGAGGTTGGATTAAATTGAGAGGCTGGTCGCCATATGGGGACCCCACACTCAGAAGAGGAAATTTGCTTTCCCTTAATTTTTTTCCAAAAGATGCTTTGCTAGACTTAATGCTCTAATAGCAGAGCAGTCAGCCCCAGTGCGCGCAGCCTCAGCGTGAACGTGGCCCAGACGCGTCCAATTTGAAGCTGTCAGTGATAATAATCATTAGTGACAGCATTCTCTTTTAATTCGCCTAAAAAGATCAAACCGCTCGTTAGAAGGGGAGTTTTGATGATCTTTGTGTGTAAACACCCTGGCAGATCAAAAATTTTGCGCATTCTCTCAAATCCGCTCGTAGCGGATGAGGGGAGGGGTGGGGCCGTCTTCATTGAAGAAGGCGAGCCGCGAGCAAAGGAGAGCGAGACATGAACTCTCGTAGTAAGAGCAGTCGGTCTCAGCAGAGCAGCCTCAGCGTGGGCGTGGCCCAGGCGAGAGGCGCATTCAAATACAAAGCTGTCAGCGATATGGAATCATTGTTGACAGTGTTCTTCTCCAAACCGCCCAGGAGGATTGAGCCACTCAACAATGAGGGGCGCCGATCCCCACATGTAAACACACTGGCAGATCAAAGAGCTGCGTGGAGAGTGATGCATGCGGGGGTTTGCCGGCATTAAATCACTCAAGTCTGATCGTTCATACCCGCGAGTTCGTCATTTCTACCTCCGAGTAACTGGGAGGAGAGAAACACAAGAGCGGGGGAGGCGGGGCTCAGCGACACACATACAAATGTGAAGCTGCCAGCGTTTTGCTTTGAGGATTAAGCTGCTCGTGAAACGAGGAGCGCTGATTCTCGTGTAACACACACTGGCAGATTAAGCAAGCCTGATGTGTGTCGGCATGAAATTGCTCTAGCCTGATCGCTCAACCCGCAAGCTCGCCGTTGCTTCCTCCGAGGTAACTGGGAGGAGAGAAACATGAGAGCGGGGAGACGGGGCCGCCTTCCGCGAATTAACAGGGGCAGACTGCTTTCGTGGTAAAAGCAGCCCGTGTTTGTGAGCACAGTCATAGTGATTCAAGCTGTTAGAAGCTGCCAGTGGCAGCATTTGCTCCGGTGCTCCGATCTACTTAGGAGGATAGAGCCGCTCGATGTAAAGAGGGACGCTGATCCTTACGTGTGAGACACGGATCGAAGTGCAGCGGGGAGAGCGAGTACGCAGGCTCTGTGTCGGGGTGAGCTCGCTCAGACCCGGTTGCTTAGTTCCCAGGCTTTGCCGTTTCTCTCGGCGGGAGAGCTCTGAGTGAGCATTCTGTCTCAGTAAGCGAGCAGCTCACTGCCCTTCTGCGGCGGATCCGAATGCAATGGTGAGAGAGAGGCACAGTGCCGGCATGAGATCGGTCAACCCGGTTGCTTATTCCCTGACTCTGCTGTTTCCCTCTCCGAGGCTCGCTGAGAGAGGAGAAATGGGAGAGCGGGGCTGCCTTCAGTGAAGGCGGTCCGCAAGTGGAGAAGAGCGAGACTCATGCTTTCAACGAGAGCATTCCGTCTCAGTGAGCGAGCAGTCTGCGTGGGGGCTGCCCATACAGGTGACGCACCCACTGCCCTTCTGCATCGTGAAAGATTCCCTGCACGAGCCACACTCGCAGTGCGACATTTGCAACAACGTCGCTAGAATTTGCTCTTTTAGGGCTTACCTGCTAGAAATAAGCTCTTTCAGAATCGCCGGATGGCGGCAGGGGAACAGGACCAGAACTGCTGCGATGCTGAGGCACGAAGAGAGCCGGTCAGCCGAGCAGGGAGGTCTCAATCCAGCTGCGAGGCATGTCAACGGCGAGCAGGCTTTCAGGATCAGCGATGAGCGTAGAGTCGTCGCTGAAGGAGAAGAAATCTGAGAATCCTGTGGCGAATGCCCGCTTATATAATCAGATGTCCCGCCCATTCTGGCGGGCTTTGTCTTGTGCAGCTCTGCTGCCTAGCCATTGGTTCGTTTTTAATACACTGCACGATTCAATGGCCGTGCAGTTTCACTGCGTGAATGAAAAAAGGCTTCAGTTCAGGAGAAAAAAACGTTTTTTTCCCATTTGCATCTAGCAAGACGCAGTATGAGTGTAGTATCGAAAGGGAACTGAATGTGTGTCAGTATTACACGCATGCCTTCCGTCTTAAAGGGACAGCATTCCTAATTAAGTACCTATCCGTGTCATTAACTATCCGTTAACCAACAAAAGATGTTAATTAAATATGTTAAGTTTAATTTGTATATCTTTTGTATTTGTCTTATTCTGCTACTTTTTCAAAAATTTTAAATTATATAGGCCTATATTATATATGAACAACTATAATTTGCTCCCTTTTCACTACTGTTAAAGTGATAGTTCATCCAAAAATGAAAATTGTCATAATTTATTCAAGTTTTTCCAAATTCAATCCTTGATTCAAATTTCTCATAAGCTTAATTGATTTGGTCTAAAGAGAGAAGAATTAATGACTATTTTTGTTTTAAGACTACATATAAAATAGCTACCAAAATAAATATTGGTAACTGAAGTTTGACAAAGTAATGACTAAAAGTTGACAAAAATGCAATTACTTTTCATCGACTAAAACTATGAAAGACTAGTAACGAAGTCTAGACTAAAACTTTACTCAAATGACTAAAATGTGACTAAGACTATTAAGCATTTTCGTCTCAAGATAAAGACTAAGACAAAAAAAATGCCTGTCAAAATTAACACTGCGTCATACAGGTGCATCTCAATAAATGTCGTGGAAAAAATCATTTCAGTAATTCAACTCAAATTGTGAAACTCGTGTATTAAATAAATTCAATGCACACAGACTGAAGTAGTTTAAGTCTTTGGTTCTTTTGATTGTGATGACTTTGGCTCACATTTAACAAAAACCCACCATCTCATCAAATTAGAATACTTCATAAGACCAATAAAAAAATTTTTTTTAGTGAATTGTTGGCCTTCTGGAAAGTATATTAATTTACTGTACATGTACTCAATACTTGGTAGGGGCTCCTTTTGCTTTAATTACTGCCTCAATTCGGCGTGGCATGGAGGTGATCAGTTTGTGGCACTGCTGAGGTGGTATGGAAGCCCAGGTTTCTTTGACAGTGGCCTTCAGCTCATCTGCATTTTTTGGTCTCTTGTTTCTCATTTTCCTCTTGACAATACCCCATAGATTCTCTATGGGGTTCAGGTCTGGTGAGTTTGCTGGCCAGTCAAGCACACCAACACCATGGTCATTTAACCAACTTCTGGTGCTTTTGGCAGTGTGGGCAGGTGCCAAATCCTGCTGGAAAAATGAAATCAGCATCTTCAAAAAGCTGAAGGAGAAGGAAGCATGAAGTGCTCCAAAATTTCTTGGTAAACAGGTGCAGTGACGTTGGTTTTCAAAAAACACAATAGACCAACACCAGCAGATGACATTGCACCCCAAATCATCACAGACTGTGGAAACTTAACACTGGACTTCAAGCAACTTGGGCTATGAGCTTCTCCACCCTTCCTCCAGACTCTAGGACCTTGGTTTCCAAATGAAATACAAAACTGGCTCTCATCTGAAAAGAGGACTTTGGACCACTGGGCAACAGTCCAGTTCTTCTTCTCCTTAGCCCAGGTAAGACGCCTCTGACGTTGTCTGTGGTTCAGGAGTGGCTTAACAAGAGGAATACGACAACTGTAGCAAATTCCTTGACACGTCTGTGTGTGGTGGCTCTTGATGCCTTGACCCCAGCCTCAGTCCATTCCTTGTGAAGTTCACTCAAATTCTTGAATCGATTTTGCTTGACAATCCTCATAAGGCTGCGGTTCTCTCGGTTGGTTGTGCATCTTTTTCTTCCACACTTTTTCCTTCCTCTCAACTTTCTGTTAACATGCTTGGATACAGCACTCTGTGAACAGCCAGCTTCTTTGGCAATGAATGTTTGTGGCTTACCCTCCTTGTGAAGGGTGTCAATGATTGTCTTCTGGACAACTGTCAGATCAGCAGTCTTCCCCATGATTGAGTAGCCTAGTGAACCAAACCGAGAGACCATTTTAAACTCAGGAAACCTTTGCAGGTGTTTTGAGTTGATTAGCTGATTGGCATGTCACCATATTCTAATTTGTTGAGATAGTGAATTGGTGGGTTTTTGTTAAATGTGAGCCAAATTCATCACAATTAAAAGAACCAAAGACTTAAACTACTTCAGTCTGTGTGCATTGAATTTATTTAATACACGAGTTTCACAATTTGAGCTGAATTACTGAAATAAATGAACTTTTCCACGACATTCTAATTTATTGAGATGCAACTGTAAATGGAATGAGGCATCAGTTTACTGTCGAGATTTGTCATGTCACGTCAATGCGTGGCGACACGGTTCTATAGTATTTTGTTGCGCCACTTGTGCCCGGTGTAGACACAGTGTTAGTCTATCTTTAACAGCCTTGAGTTTATCCGTGTAAAATGCAATATGGCGTCTAATCTAAGGTCTATTATTTATTATTAATATAAGCAATATTATTAATACTTACACCAATGAATGAAATTACTCCCAATGAGCGTCCACGAGGAGTACTGGAAAGAAAAAGCATACGAGTTTACTTCAACAATCTCAACTTTCTCAAAACCACTACTGATTTCCAGCAAAGAGGCCACGGCAGAGAGGCCACACAGACCACACATAGAACATGGTTGCAAAAAAATAAAGTAAGTACAAAATATGACTATCAAATTACTTTGCAGAAATATTCTTGAATTTTGATATCTTTGATGCCATTGATTTAGGAGGTTCAGTCTCTTTCGGAGCTGGCTGATCTTTTTTCTTCGGAGGTTGGGGTGGACAACCTTTCACAGGAGGAGCCATGCTCTGAAACACAAGCACACCAGACATTGCATTGCAGATCTACAACACATGACAGACTTACACAATAGCAATTATTTAGTATGAAATGAAATACATGGGTGAACTTACAGTGGCATTAAACGCTTCAGTTGGTGGCTGTACTGGACCTGGGCCCCGGAAATCAGGTGGCAGTGGTCCAGCAAACCCTCCTCTATCTCCAAACGCACGATTGCCCTTATTTAAATAACACACACAAAAAATTGCTCAATGCTATATTAAGCTATTTTTTTATTTTCGTACTATGAGCCTTCAGAGCAGTTTATTCTCACCAGCTCTACCAATCATAACAAGCCTAAAAGCACATGAGATATTAGGGGACAGACACAATCTTCTCCAAATAATGAAAAAATATTATAACCGCTGTATGTCAGGTTCCAGCAGGGGTTGGGTAGATCAAGAATATGCATGTAGATTCAGCAGACAATAAATGACTAAGAAACAAAGTTCTGAAGTAGAGATGCACCGATCAACCGGTCAGGGACCTGAATTAGCGGATTTTCTGCATAATCGGACCGGTGACTTGATAAAAGATCGTCTGGGACAAGTAGAATTTTTTAAAGGGGCAAGTGAGAGAGAATTTTACTTGCCCGACCGGACAAGAAGCCTTTAATGTTGAGAAAAACAATAATATCCACATGCTCGGGTGAAAATAGGCTCCTCAGTCTGATAACAATAAAAATAGCGCGCTGACACAGACGTTCCAGACAGAGACACAAACATAACGGTGTGCTAAGCAAAGTTTCTTATAGCGCTTTGTGTTTTCTGTTTTTAAACCACTCTCCCTCGAGGAAACTTAAAGGAAGCATATGTCTCACGATCATTTCGCTATCAGATAAGCTCTCTTCTCGGCTCACTCGGTTACAGCTGCGCTTACCTGCAGTCGTGAATGCAGTGATGGACAGCTGTTTTTTATGGGATTTCTCATTGTGATGGTGATATTATAACTCAGTTTCACGGATTCATTTTAATCAAAAGTATTTCCATTTTGTAAGATCATTTAATAAGAAGATAATTTTTATCAAAGTAATTCCAAACTTCGCGAGGCAGACGACAACATTCTGTGATCAAATGCAATCAACTCATTAACACGCCACCCAGGGCACTTAGTTATCACTGCGGAGAATTTATCATGGATTCCCTGTATTTACGGCCAGAAAAGCATCATGCAGTAAAATTCGAATAGTGTTTTTATTTTTCGAATAATAATTACAAAGCGAATATTCGACTATTTGTGCACACCCCTAATTAACATGTGATCACCGTGATCCAATCAAGCAGACCGGATCATCAGTCAATCAGGACACGCCGCATTTACACTTGGCAACATCAAGTGACTTCTCTATATGGATAACCGATCAGATCTCTCTTTCCCGCACTTTGTGTATTTGTTTTGTATAAATGTGTGTATTTGTTCTTTTTTTTATTTTTTTTACTGACTGTTCACCTGCCTACTGTGGTATTGAAGAAGTATTAAAGTGTAGGCTACTTTAAGTAAAAAACAGAAAGCAAAGTTACATTTTACAAATAATATAAGTGGCATTAATTTTTTTGTTTGTTCACATTGATGTAGGGCTGCACGATTAATCGAATGCGATTTGTCACGCGCATCTTGTCAGTAAAGCCGGTTCTGTGATTAGTAGTAAATCTCCAGCACGTTCTTTCAGATGGAGCAGCGTTTACTACACAGACGATTTAATCGCGCGATTATGAAATCGAAGAAATCGTTCTGCGATTATGAAAGCTGTTTGTGAAGCTTGTCAGTGAACTACGGCGGTGTAGTAAATGCTGCTCCATCTGAAAGCATGTGAAAATACCACATTTAATTAGGGGTCGACCGATTATCGGCGCCGATATTAAGCATTTTTATGATTATCGGTATCGGTCATTTTCAAAACCGATTCGCCGATAAAATAACTTAATTTTGAAACACGCTATTTCACCACTCTGTGGGCTAAAGCAGTCTCCGCCCACGGCTCATCTGATTTGTTGTGAGTCACGAGTCAGACCAAGCAAAGCGGAATTCACTCTCACTCTGAAAGCGCTTGCTAACTGAAGCTGCTTCAGTGATCACGCATCAGTT